GGCAATCTGTATCTTCAATATATTTCCTTAAAATCAGTTTGAGATTTAGACATAAAGGAAACCAAGCCTGATGTATTTAAAAACTTGGAATAAAAACCATAAGTTGCTTCTCAATTGGGTTTCCTAAAAGGTCTAAATGTTACTGATATGTTGTGTTACATAGTACTTGAATTGTTGAAATGAAGCATGCCTAATTTCTTGAGAATGCCAAAATCAGATGGAGTGGTTTATCGAGCGATTTTTACCTCAAACATCTAATGAAGAGACGCTTATATTTCAAGTGTCCATTATGCTTAGCAGTTCATTAGGAGATTCATGATATAGGCGTTGAAACCCATGATATTTAATAACCTATAAGAGATTGGCATTGAAACCCATGATATTTAATAACCTCATAAAATGATACCACATAAGAGATTGACATTGAAACCCATGATATTTAATAACCTATAAGACATTTTCTATGATATTGGCGAGCGATAGCTTTTGATAATTACATGTGGCCGATCTTGACATAGGTAAGGAAAATGACCACATCATGTATAGTGATGCAATAACTTTTGATTAGTCAACTTAATAGAATAAAGCCATGATTTACGATCTTAATTCCATTGAAAAGAATGGTGTTTGAGAAATTTGTTGAATTTCAAAATGGTTATAAACTCGTAGGATGCAAGTAGGTCTGTAAGATGAAATTAGATCCCAATGATTAACATCGAATGAGATAAAGTTCAAATGGTCGCTAAAGGGTATTCACAAAAAAGGGTATACCAAGAAACGTTCTCACCCATATCTCGAAATTAATTCCTTAGGATCGTAATGGCCATTATAGCTCTTTTTTTAGAGCTACATTTTATAGATGTTCCTCCATAAAGCACAATGTTATTATACTAGGTCTATCCTAAGAATTAAAACCTTTCATAATAGCATTGTGATTTAATGGAACTTTTAATTTAAATTATTCAAGTACTTGATTATTATTCCTCTATAATATGCAACTTTTCTATATAACTAACTTTTGCACAATTACTTTCTATATAGACAAATATGTTAATTACCACTTAACTCTAATGTCATTTGGCTAAAATAATCGTAAGTTTCATATAAAACACTAAAGTATGATCAACGGGGGTCCCGTGTCTAACAACGACATGTTAGGTTATACTTTTATGCTTTTAGTGTTAATATGAGACAATATTAACTTAACTTGTACAAAGAAATAATAAACACATACATACAAATAGTCATTCGGCCAAGTGGGAAAATGTTGGAAAATAACCCATTAATATGGCCATCAAACTATTTTGGAATAATTTTTTTATATGTTGTTACAATTATATTATGTACCCAAACATTTTCCATAGTGATATAACATGTCCCTAGATGTAAGTATATGTAGTATTATGGATATAATAATTTGTCTATAACTTAGGGGACAAAATCTATGTGGTTCTATAACTTAACCATAAGATGTAATTGATAAATTAAACGCATAATCATGAGAGAAAATTATGAGTGGAATATCAATTGATTCTTCTCCTAAAACATAAATGTTTTTCTCTCTAAAAAAAACCCCACCAATTCTATATGTGTAATCCATCTATCAGATTAATCAATAAGATACCATTATGAGAATTGAGAAAACATCATAAATCATCATCTTCAGTATTAAGGGGATGTCATCTTCTCCATGTTACCGTTCTTCATTACATTTAAGGTTTATCAAGTTTATGTTGAATTGATCCTTTGATCATGCCTATAAATTTAACATTTGAGTCATATCACAACTCCAACACTACTATTAGTGAGCTTTTCCTAGCCAAGCATTCGGGTTTGCTAATTGGGTTTATATTTAGGACCAGATACCTAATTGAAGAGAATCATTCCACCTGTTTCTAATTTAACTTTTCACAGTCTTGAATTTATCAGTTGGAAGATATCATCTTTCTTGGTTCTTCTATAAGTAAATGTAATTTTGTAAAATTCTCTTTCAACTACGTTTAGATGATGCCTTCAAAAGATAGGAATAAGATCTTTAATTTATGGTCCTTAGACTAAGTAAAATTTTGGATTACCTGCTGAAATATGCAACACTAAATGTTGAAATGAAACTCAAGTTTGAAACTGACTAATGTGTATCTATACTTTATATGGAGGTTACTATCGGACATGAGATTGAGATTTGATAAGAGTGATATGGAATAGGGGCATCAGCCCTGAAATCCATATGATTGTTTAATTTAGCTCTAAGATGGTTGTCAATGTTATCTCACCAAAAGAAAAAAATAACATCTTTTATGCAGATTGTAAATCAAATTGTAAATAGAAATCATTGTTTTAAGTGTTGTTTTAATGATGAAATTAAATATATGATGTCTTTAAATATAAATTCTGATGATATATTTAATTGAAATTTGGAAAAAAGAACTTTAAATATATAATATGGTTAGTTCAAAATTATTGCTTAGTGATGCGACATCGACTCCGACCACCTGCTCTGAGGGAGTTCTTCCATGCCGACGACGGATCTACGAGGTCACAACAGACAAGCCCGTTAGAGGCGCCCCAGGGACTGTGCCCCGGGAGCGGACTCCGACGGTCAAGTTAGATCATCAGGTAGATCTGAGATCAATCTATTTAGCTAGAGAGAACCATCTTGGTGCTGGTGGTGGTGTGTGGTGGCTGACGGTGGCGGGTGGCGGTTGAGCCACCCGGCCGGAGTATAGTGTGGCAGCTGAGCCAAAGGGAAGATCCCCCATCATGGAGGGGATACTATTCATTATATAGGGGACAATTAGGTCAAGGGGAATTAGGCCAAGACTTGGGCTAGCCCAATTCAGGCCCAGCTAGCAAGGAGCTCGGCGAGGCCGCCAGGAGGCGTCGGGCGAGGTTGGCGGTTGTGCACCAAGCAAGGCTGGCGGGCGCGCACCAGGAAAGGGTGGAAAGGGAGCGCCAAGCCAGGGAGCACCAGGCCAGGCCGGCGAGAGAATCCCCAGCAGGGCTGGCAAGGAGAGCCAGGTTGGGCTGGCGGGAGAGTCCCCAGCAAGGCTGGCAAGGGAGTCCCCAGCAAGGCTGGAAAGGGAGCACCATGCGAGGCTGGCACGCCAAAGCTGTCTAGGCCATGCTAATGGACCATATATCAACAAGTCCCCCCAGTCCGATCTTATTGGTATGCGGCCAATGACATTGGATTGGACTAAGTCATATAAACCAACAGGAGAGTCCCCAGTGAGGTTAGCAAAGGAGTCCCCGGCAAGGTTGGTAAGGGAGTGCCAGGCCAGGCCGGCGGGAGAGTCCCCAGCAGGGCTGGCAAGGGAGCGCCAGGCGAGGCCGGCACGCCAGAGGTGTCTAGGCCACAATAATGGACCATACATCATCAAGCCCCCCCCCCCCCGCCCCCCTCCCCCAGTATGATGTTATTGGTACGCGGCCAATGACATCGGACTGGACTTAGTCATATAAACTGTGTGTCATCAAGTCCCCCTAGTCTGATGCGATTGGGTTGCTGCCAATCAGATCGGACTAGATAAAGCACCAATACATAAAATAATAGAGAGAACGACCAAACCTCAGCCACGAGAGTCGTGGGGATGCGCAATGAGCCAGACAGTGTTGGTTGAATGACCTTTCCTTGCTAGGAAAATGATCCAGCTCATATGATACAATGTAGTTGTTGTTGCGATCATGCAGAGCGAGGTTGTTGACAATGTTATGCGGAGCGGGGCTGCTATGTGACAATGGAGTCGGTACAACATCGGGTCAAGGTAGCCATACAGTATCTAAGACTGTTATTCGATGCAGATGGAATTTCACCAATAGCCATCTAGATAGTCTTCCTTACCCGAGCATTAATAACCATCCTAAAGGTATCTTCAAACTACACTATACCCAACTAGACTCCCCCCAGTCTGGTGTGGGTTGCGTTGGTAGCCAAATCAGACAATGACAGATAAGGCAAGGTTGTTATACCAATAGACGACGAAGTTGTTGGCATAAAAAGTAGAAAACTCTTTGTTCGAGATGGATGTTGTCAAACCGATGAGTCGTAAGGTTGTTGACCGTAACATAGGTGGCTGAGATTCCGAGACTTGGGCGATTAGGTTGCTAGCGAGGGTCATATAATGAGACTATTGTCGATAGCCAAACAACAGAATTCTTGAGGAACAGGTAGTGAGGCTATAGGTAGGAAATATGCAGTGAGACTGTTGCCTAGAGTCAGGCAGCAGAGGTGCTAAGGGATAAGCGGTGAGGCCAGAGGTATGGGTTGCGCAGCAAGACCGTTTCCGAGGGCCTGACAACACTGATGTTGAGGGATGCGCAGCGAGGCTACAAGTAAGGTTGCATAGCAAGACCGTTTCCAAGAGCCAGGAAATAGAGATGTTGTGGGATACGTGGCGAGGCTACAGGTAAGGTTACATAGCAAGACCGTTTTTGAGAGCCAGGAAACAGAGATGCTGAAAGGTAGTAGGTAGTAGGGCCGTTGTCGGGATAACCTTCTTGTTGGAGAGTAACCCCACTATAGCAGGATGTATCGCCCGAGCACAAGAGAACCAGGATGACTGTGAGAGAAGAAACACCGAGGGTGTGGTGTTAGGCGCATAATAAATTGGTGGTACGCGACTTATGGTGTGCGACGATGCGCTACTTATGTTTTCACGACTTAGAAGAATAGTTTGGGCTTAGTAGTTAGCGACCATGGAGTTGTCACGCGGGAGAGGACCATATATCAACACTTAGAGTGTTGGATGCCTGGATTACAACTAGATTGAATAAGGAGTCGTTTGATAGTTGCTGACCGAGTTAGTGTTGACTGAGTTAATGCAGACTGAGTTAGAATTTCTGACTGAGTCCACATCTGATTGAAATCATTCTATTTGATTATATCTCTAACTGTTTGTGATGAATGATAAAAAATGACCATATTACCCCTTGATGAAAAAATTTATATTACACCAAAAATAACAAAGAATTTTATTCTTGATTCTAGAAAAAGCAGTGAACTTTGATCAAACCAACTAATAATTAAAAGAAAAAGCAATGAACGTTGACGATTCATACATATTTGTAAAGAGAACATAATAAAAAAAAACATGAATTACTTGTTTCAATCGAATTACAAAGCAATTTGTAGCACCAACTTTGACTTTTAATTCAATACGTCATAATTTGAATCATCCTCGAATCATCTCCCTGAAAAAGAAAAAGAAAAAAAAATTAAGTCAATAATAAAAAATCTTTGTAACAAAAATCACAACATATATTAACATAAAAAACAGTAAGACCATTTATGCATTCATAAGGTTCTCCTGCTTCAAATTTCAATAGGCACTACTTGAGAGATAGAGATTAACATATATATATATATCATGAAAACTGTGAATGTTTAATCTGTTGAACAAGTTCAAATAACATAACATATTGAAACAAGATACAAGATTTATTTAATCATAATACAAAATCTCTATATTTTCTTACATATGATGTGATTTTGTGAATTTATAAAGCAAAAGAATGAACTTACAATAAGGATTCGTAACTTTGGCTTTTCTTCAATCTCATTCATATACTTGTAAATATCTCCGTCTGTTGAAAATTCAAAGAGTCAAAATAAACAAGTGTGTTAAAGGCATCACACTCTTCCATTAATGTGGCACTTGAAACAGAGCAAAAATAAACAAGTGTGTTAAACGCATCACACTATGTACAGAAATCGATAGAGATATTATGCAATACAAAAAACTCACGGCATAGTAGAAAAATAGAAGCAAACACGTTCTCCTTCTCTATCTTTCTCCCAATCGATTGATCGTCTCTCTCCTGAAAAAAATCATCTCCCTACTGCAAAAGTTAAAGGAATAAGAAATCGATTGAAGAAGAAATCTGTTACCTACAAAAATTAAAGGAGGAAGAGAGCGCCGACGGAAGGAGACAACGAAGGAAGGAGGTTGCAGGCTAGGAAGGGTCGATGGAGGGAGAGAGCGTTTTGTCGTTGACGATGAAGGGCATTCATAGCTTCAAGGCAATAAAGAAATTTTCCAGTCAGGCTCTCTTTTATGAATGACCGAATTTTAGATGACCAAGTAAGAGCATTGGACTGGATCAGATGTTTTTAGCCCTTTATCAAACGAACCAACTGGACCGAGTCAGCCAAAATAGCTAACCGGACCCAGTCAGTTACTTATCAAGTAGGCCCTAAGTGTTATTTACAAGTGTTTAAACATGCAAATGCACGAAATCAATACAAAAAACACAACATATAATCCAAAACCAAGTTTTCCAATTCCATGAGTGTGTTGATATGTTAATCTTATGTAAATATGCATTGAAACAAAAATAGTTACAAAAAAAAAAAAAAAAAAAAAGCTCAGGAACTTAAACATGGTCAAGGGGTCAAGCAATCATACAGAAATTGTCGAATCGCTTCATAATTCATATCAGATGATGAATCATTACACATTAAACATAAACACTCGATTATTCACAATAAATCTGATCTCATCATCTAACCAAAAAACAACAAACAAAAAATGAATAATTTTTTTCCTCAATCATCTTTAACTATTAAACATTTTCATCTTGTGGTGCAGCAGTTGGAGTCACAGTGGGTGCCGGTGCGGGTGCTTGGGCTGGTGCGGGCCCCAAAGAAGATACGGTCAAATGCAACCCGTTTCTTTGACCCGCTTGCAGTACAAAAGCAAATTGGGCAGCCGCCAATGCTGCCGCCTCCTAAAATTTTACAAAAAATTATTTTTTAAAATTAATCCCAAAGAAAAAAAAATTAAAATGACTTCCATGCCCTCAAATGTGGGGAATTACGAGTTTGCCCTAAACCCTAACCTGTCTTTGCCTTCGACGCTGCAAAATGTTGATGGCCCAGATCATGATGTAGCAGGGCAAAAGAAATCCCGCAATCCGAAGCAAGAAAAGCTGTCAAAGTCAAAACAAAGAAATCAATCAACAAATTTTTAAATTAAACAAAGGGTATTTTGGTCTTTTTACTAATTGTCACGCTTCCACTTACGGTTAAAAACGTGGATGCGTCTTCATCCCCATCTCCATCTCCTTCAGAATCAGGCACAGATGACGCGTGTCGGAGAAGCAAAAGAGCCATTAACTGCAAAAACATTATAACAATTTAATAATATAAATCGTTAAAAGTGAGAAAAAAATAATAATAATAATCAATATTTAATAATCGAAGGCATTTTTTTTTATAAATTTAAGGAGTTTGGAAGCGCTTACGATTAAAACAACCGAACGACAAAAGGCTGCCCCGCTGGCATTTGTGGAATTATAATCATCGTACTCTGCTTCAAGATATTGACGATCAGCTTCTGAGATTTGCCATGCTCCCCTATTCAAATCACAAAAACGTAAATTTAAAAAATTAATTTCACAATATTTGTAAATTGTTTTTGCTACACAAATTATGAAACCTTGTTTCAATCGATTGAATAGGTTACATGTAAAATGTAACTTATCCCTTTTAGTCATGGATTTGCACATTTCGTCTAGAAAACAACTTTCTTGCTTTAATTGAGTAAAAAAAAAAAAAAAAAACATTGTAGCATAAACAAGAATTTAATTTTTTTTTTAATGTATATAAAAGGAAGAAAAGATTACCCAATGTCTATGGTGGTCTCTTCCATGCAAGGTCGGGGAGGTGGAGCAATATATCCAGGTTGATAAGGCTACACATAATAACAAATTCACATTTTAATTTTTCACATAAATTACCAATTCCTAATTATAATTCAAGATTTCATATATTTGTCAAGATAACAAACCTGATGGCATATCTCACAAGTAATGTCACCCTTTTCATTGCACCAGTGTTGAACACACTTCCTGTGAGCATACTGCATTAAAAGCAAAGTTATTGAGTACATTACAATTTACAGTTTCAAAGATTCAATGTATTAGTATTGGATAATTGGATAAAGTGGAGGAAAGAAGCCATTAATGTACCTTAAGACTGCCATTGCAAGTGCAGGGTGTCTCTAAAGCATCAATGGAATCTTCCTCTTGGCAAATACGACACTCTGCCATTGTTAATAGAGGTGCTTCCTCATCATAAGAAGCCCCATTTTCATCTTCTACAAGAGCTTCTGTATTGGAAGATGAAGGGACTTCCATGTCTGCACTCCTTTTAATGGGTTGATTCACATCTAGAACCGAGTGATCACCCATCTATTTACAATGGAAGCCTGTGAAACAACAGAACGATAAAAGGGTTTAATTAGAAACGGAAAGTAGACAAAAATCGATATCGTGTGTAAATTATAACCAAAGATCGAATTTTGGAAACAGATTGAACAAGAAAAGATTCAGATAAGTAGGAAACTGGATCGAAACAAGTCATGAGTCCAGAGAACAGCATAACCGTAAATACACAAAGTCAACCATGATCACAATACACTAAAATGGAATCAGAGGGAAATCATATCACGAGATTGAACACACCGACTCAGTAGAAATCAAGACTCGAATTAGTCTGATTGTCATCATAAATCCCTAGAACCAAAACAAAAACAGAAAAAAATTATAAAAAATAAAAAAAAGATCGAATTTTGATCCAGGTAACCGATACCCATACGTCTGAAAAGCGAATTGGAATTTGGAGGAGACACCGATACGTCTACTTTTACCATGACCTTAATTCGAAGAACCCTAGAAGCTGGATTATAGGGTTGCATTCGATTCCCCCAATCACAAATCAAAATCAAATACAAAAATCGCATATAGGGAATGAATTAAAACGAGAGAAATGAATCACCTGAGAATGAAGGAGGAAAAAAATGGTTGAGGAGGGTAGAAAATAAGAAGCGCGTGATCTTTGTAATGGAGTATTGTTTCTCTCTCTGAAAACAAGGTTACTATATTTGCTCAACACCGCGTTCTATTGTGGAGTTACGAAGTAGAAAAACGATGAGAAGATTTAGAGGCGTCGATTATAAATAGGATGTTTGATTAGGGTTCGTGGATTGACGATATAAATTGGGTTCAACGGATGGAAATTTCGTTTGGGGCGACTTTTCCCATGAACAGACAACAACTCTTTTTCTTGACAATGACGAAGGATCTGAACTTTTCCAAAGATGGGTTCCAGTCTTCCAGATAATTCATAATATAATAAAGGATATTTTTTTATTATAAACTTAGATTATATAATATTTTATTAATTTATTTATTTATTTCAAGTGTTGTCATCACTATAAAATAATAATAATTTTACTACTTGTTATCAGATGATTTTTTCTATGCATTTCGAAATTCTGTCAGAATCTCACAGATCTATCATATTACAACAATACAACAGTATTTTTTCGTAACTTATCATAAAAAATATCATATGGCAAATGTAATTTACTATACATTGCGGAATAAACGACCTGAACTATATAACGGTCGTTATCTTTGTTATTTAAATAATATGTTGTTTCTAGGAGCTTGTACTTTAACTTGTTACATGTAAACATTATTCACAAATAATTGTAAGCCATTAAGCAATGAGCAGCATTTTAGCCTTTTGTCTCAACGTACAATCCATAGGATTGCATCTTTCATAGATGATATATTTGTCCAACTTAATACTTGATTTAAATAAGTGTATCAATCAACAAGAACGTTCTAGATAGAACCCCTCTTTAGACATTATACTTTACCTCATAATATATCTACATACAAGCCCATTCCAAATCATTATTGTTTGATAATTAACAGCTCAATTGAACTCATGACTAATACTTTTAACATTCTCTCATTATATCATTTCCTCACAAGAATATTCAACTCATTCTGTAACATCCGGAATCTTGAGGAATAATTGTTAGGAATAAATCCCGATTCTAGGGTTGGACACGACATGTTGGAGGAACGAATACAGTGTATCTAGATTTGAAGAAACGAGGTTTTCATTAAGGACAACACAGGATGTTATGCCATTACGCGGCCTTTTGGTGAATGGTGGAGAAAACCCTAATTTTTAGGGTGTTGCACCCTATATAAAGGCCTTAAGTCCTCATGGTTGGCCTCCTTACCAGCCTCAATTGCCACTAAAACCCTGAAATCGATCTTTAAGTCTCTCGGTGGTGTTCTTGAGCTAGTAAGAAGCTCTTGGTGCTCATTTTTGGTCTTTGTGAAGGAATAGGAGATCTTGAAGTTGCTTTGCTTGGTGAAAAGGCTTTGAATCTAGAATCATCATCTTGTGGGAAAGCTTTCTGAGGTATCAAGTTTGCATCTTGTCTTGTATATGTTTAGATCTCTTCATAGTTAGTTTGTTGTGCTTTAGGTCCCTTTTTTGGGTTAATGGATGAATTAGGTCGTTTAAGGGCTTTTTCTTTCAGATATGAGTTGTTTTTGTATCCTTGAGCATAAAGGTGCAAGCTTTATGAGAGTTTTGGTGTCATGCATGCATTAAGTCAATTATGGACGTAAAGTTGGCAACTTTATGTGGTTTTCCAGATCAAGGAAGTTAGATCTATGTTTTGGGGCTATGTATTTATGGATTAAGTACTTATTGGTTAAGCCCTTGCACTATTAATCTTTATGGATTGAGTTTGGAACCTTTTTGGGTAGTCACAATGGATAAAGTTGGAACCATTATCCTTCTGAACCACATGAGGGGCTAGATCTGAGCTTTGGAGCTCTTGGTATCGGAGAAAACAACTTAATGTGTTAAGCAGTTGGATCTTGGGCGAACATTGTGTGTTCAAGGGGCAACACGGTGTATGGCCGGGATTTTTCCGACTGATTGGATGCTGGCGGAACATAGTGTGTCCAAGGGGAAACACGGCGTGTTTGGTCAACATGGGCTGTTAATTTTGACTTTGACCAGAAGTTTGATCAGGGTTGACCATGGGATATTTTGGGCCACGTTTGGGCCTTAGTCTTAGGCCAAGCTATATAAGGGGTAAATTCGTATTTTTAACCTAAGTATGGATTGAAGGATATACATTTGATTCCAATTGTTAATTAGGTGTTATTTGATATTGATAGTTCAGAGGATTGGCGGTCAACCTATCAGGGATTATCAATGTGATTCAGCAGTGCGAGGTAAGTCTCCTCGCTATTCTATGGGTCGAAGGCACTAATGTCGGCCCTATTGGTTTACATATTATAGGAAGACCAGGGGGTGTGTAACATCCTGACTCTCAGGTAAAATATTAAATTATTTTACATTCATAATGTCAGAGCAACTTGACGAGTTGGATGCCCCAACTCGCCGAGTATAGGAGTTAACGATCGCATGAATGCTAGAGTCTACTCGACGAGTTAGAGGACCCCAACTCGACGAGTAGGAGTTGAGTGAGAAAACCTTAATTTTCAGGGTGTGTGTCCTATTTAAAGGACCTTAAGCCTTCATTCATCCACCCTTTTACCCAAATACCCTGTGAGAAACCCTAATCGTGTGTATTTGCTTGTGTGTGTGTGTGAGAGAGAGAGAAAGAGAAGCTAACTTTGGGTCTTCTAGTGCATATTTGGAAAAGGATTGAAGAACATCAAGCCTTGGAACAATAATAGGCTTTTGGATCAAGTGTTTTTCTATGCTAGATTCAGTTTGAAGGTAAAAAGCTACCACCTTGAACATTTCTTTTGATAGATCTTCTTCTAGGGAGTTTTAGGGCTTTTTTCCCTTAGCTTGTGGTTCTTGAGTTGTTGGAGCTTGTCATGGAGTTGAGACTGGAGATCTGGATAAAAAAGAGGTCCCATGAGCCCAAAGATCCAAGCTTTATCAAGATTTGGTCAAGTCTCCATGCATGAAACCCTTTATAGAGTCTGTTTTGGCATTTTGAGCCCTAGATGTCATGCATGAACGTAAAGCTTGCAACTTTACGTGATAAGTGAGCCTTAGAAGGTTAGAGTGTGACAACCCAAAATTTCTATCTTGTTCAGTTATTCAAATCAATCAAGGTCAGACTCATTTTTGCTATCTTCTAGCGTTGTTTGGAGTAAAATTGAGTGTTTAAAGCCTAGTATAATCAAGGTGTGGGGCTAGGGATGAGTGTATTTGAGTTCAACACCTTTCAATGGAGCCAAACACCCCTTCATGAGGTGTGTGCGGCTATACACATGGGTGTACGTTCGTACACCCATCCTAGTCGTACACTCTCATGTATAAATGAGAGTCTTAGCCTTCATTCACTTCTTTACACTCCTAAGACAAGAAATCAACTTTTTTCTCTCAAGTATCATCCGATGTTTCATCTAGATCTTCAAGTTGTAAGTGTTTCTTCCTTTGATTTATTGATTCATTACACAATCTGGTAAGGATTCATGACTTCATCCATGAAATTACTCCTTTTGTTTAGATCTTCAAGTGTTCTCCCAGAACACCAAGAACACCTACTAAGTTTTTTGACCTCAAACACCCCTAAAGGCTTCTATATCGTAAGTACCACTCCTCATGCTTGTTACTTACTAGTTATGCTCCTTAGAAATCGTCCAAACCATGATCATCAAGGAGTGTACAGTCGTACACACCCCATGTGGCCGTACACCCCTTTGTTTAGTGCTAATTGGCTTCAAACTCATGTTCTATGATAGCACATGATCAAGAACACTTAGGGGATGTAAGTTAGAGACTTGAGATACATTTTTGACCATTTTTACATGATCATCAAGGGTGTACGGCTGTACACTCCTTGTGTGGCCGTACACACCCTTTTTGAGGTCCAAAATGGTAATAAACTTCCATTAAGGCTAAGCATTGGTCAAAACACACTTCCTAGATGCTTGTTAAGACTTTAAATCACTCATTGGCATGTTTCACCATGAGTGTGCGGTCGCACACCCACTTGGTTCGTACACTCTGGCCGTACACACACATGAAACACACCATTCTGGCTGTTCACACCGATGTGTGGCCATACACCCATTATATGCAACCCTTGGTACTTCTAGCACTTCAATATAAGTGTTTCCTATGTCCTGGGGTGTTTTTCCTTGCATGATTAGTTGTTTAAACACTAACTATATACATATATGTTCATTATATGCTTATTAGGATCCGTTGTGCTCAAGTCTTCGCTTGACACTTAGCATCCTACAAACCGATCTTTCATTTGTATCACTCACTGCAGGTGAGTTCATACCCCTTAATCTACCTTTTAAATGATTTTAAAAGCTTTTATGGAAGGGGGGAATACAAGTTGAAAACATTATAGTTATTATATCAATCACATCTGATTAAGAACTATCAAACAAGTGGATTTCATATACTTCAAAACTATTTACCAAACAAACACTTTAAAACATTTTATAAATTGACATCAAGTCATCTATTATTTAAATGGTTAAAACTCCTTTTATGTCAACTCTTTTATGCTAAAACTCTTTATTAAACTCTATTAAACTTATATATTGTCAAAATCATGTCTACATAGATATAGTATATAAGTAAGGTTGAAAGGACTTAGGACTGATAACTCGCTTTATTTCATGTTCCTTGTTTGGTTGTGGACTTTGAGTATCCGGTTGTTTGTACGAGTGTCGTTTGAATCTTAGTTATATATTATGTATATGTATATAGATATAAGAACTTTTATCTTTGTGCAACACACTCAATCGTTCAAACAACATTACTAGTAAACTATAATAGGTAGAGTTTAGGATATTACTACTTAATATTTCTAGTACAATGAAACATACAAGAGTCAGTTCATTCATAAGTCAATAAAAACTTACTATTATTAGAAACATAAAGAACATACTATGATGAGAAACTAAGAGAACATACACTATACTATACAAGAGAACATACAATACACTAGTATAGAGAGAACATACAATACACTAGAACATACTATACAAACACTAGAATACTATAACATTAATGTGAGCCACTACTTCATGGCATGGCAATCTACTGCTATGTCACGTTTTGTAACCAAAGTTGAGTTAGATTTCCCCGATACTTTGTAGAAGATGAAGGAACTCAACTAGTCACATAGAGGCACTCAACGAGTTTAGTCAACATGGAATATTGACTTGAGCATTGACTTCTAGGGTTTGGTCAACTGTGGACTTTAGAAGCCATGGAGGGGTAAAATGGTCTTTTTCACCCTTTTGAGATTTAGTGGAGGAGTTAGTTTAGCATTGAGGAGTGGTTATTA